GCCAAAATCATAAATTACATGGAGTTACAAAACTTTGGGGTCACCCTCAGCTAGGTCCTAGTCTCGATCGTGATACGATTCTTTAGTCGTAATATAGATTATTTAGATTTTGAGTTGATCATAATGTTTTATATACTATGCTGCCTGATTAAAAAATATAATTAGGTTTTGTGTATTTAATATTATGAAATAAGTTTATTGTAAGATTAAAAAGTTTAGATTTTTGTTTTTTATCAATGAATCTTAAAAATATTAGCAAAAACCTTCCTATTAAATAATAAAAAGATTATTAAGATATCTAAGACTAGACACTTTTTTTTTTTAATGTATCTAGGATCGAAGATGATCTTAAAACTACTAAAGACTATATTATCCATATTAATGGAAGTTTACTAGATGGTCTCTTGTACGAATAATGTTCATTCTTTAATGGATACAAAGTGCATCTTTTTTCTTAGAGTAAACAAAATAAGTTTATACAACTTAAATTAAAATAGATTTATTTATTATTTTTGTCAACAAAAAAAAGTTACAAGTAAAATAAAAAATAATTGAATTAATAATTCAAACATAGTTAACATTGATCACGAATAAGTAGATCGACAATTCGGATTTAATTAATTTTGACTACGAACAGTTCAGACTATTTGATTACGAACAACTCAAACAATCTAACTTGATCACAAACACCTATATGACCGAATGAGATGAATTATAATTATATCCTGAAACGAGAGGGAGAGTATCAAGTGTATGTATCTTTTCTATCAAAGTAACATGATCTAAAATAGGTGGACATAGTATAATCTATAAACTTGTTATTATAAACATTTTAGGTATATTAGTATAAAATGCGGCTTTTTACGTATGTTATTTTGATCTTTTTACGTTAAAAACAAGTTCGACGTTAATACGGGAGATGCAAATTTACATCAGACCTGGGGTATAACCAACATAAATTTATGTCATGTATGTCCCTGATCCAATATAAACTCGTCTTTTTTTTTCTTACTTACAGCAAATGAGTCCAGATTTCAATAGACAATAATTCAAAAATATAACAATACAATCTAATACAAAGACTAAACTACTTAAAAGGTAAACATTACAAAATTAATACAAAAATTAAGTTACCTAAATGTTAAATAAACTACATAATACAATATAAATAATAACATACAAACTAAGTATTAGAAATGTTGAACAAAAAATCTTGCTCTTTATTCTCTAATTTGTGTAATATCAGAGTCTGATAGTGGAGATGGATGAATCTTGAAATACATGAACTATTAATTTGACTTCTGTTAACATACAATCCACATAAAGATAAATGAACTTAACAAATATTGAAAACAATTACTTTTATCCATGAATCAGTTATACTTACACAAACTTTTATCTATTACATGTGTTTAGGAACATATTTTGGAAAACCTGTTGGGACAAATCTCCTTCGGGTATTTGCCCCCTCTTTGCTTTTTTTCTCTTCCTTTTGATATGTTGTGTGTTCAAATCCGACATTGAAGTCAAAACTTATCTTGCTTCGAACATTTTTCATTTTTTTTTTCATCATAAACCCCTTACATATTGTAATATTTAAACAACAACAACAACAACAACAAAAAACATAGGTTTCAAACGTATAAATGAATAATCATAAACTACAATAGTTTAATTTCAATAACAATCCAGTGAAAACATTCAATTTCAACATAAAACTCAAATGTACAAAAAATACTCTAAAACTCAAATTTATTCGGAGAAAAATGTCAATCACCACAAATGGGACACAATAAAAGTGTTTTTGTCACTCACTATAGTCGAAATGTACCTTAAGGGGAGCTGGTTTGGTCATTGTCGTCATCGTCACTCGAAAAACCTCGTGCGCAGGAGAAAAGAAGCCCTTAGATGATTAAAGCGCGACTTTTACGTCAAATCTCATAGGAACCGACGTAAAAACCGTTTTTTACGTTGGTTAGAGAGTCACCCAACGTAAAAAGTAGTTTTTACATCGGCCTCTAAGAGGTCTGACGTAAAAGTATCATCCCTTATTTACAAAAATGCTACCGCATTCTTTTTAAGTCGGTTATTTTTGAGTCTGACGAGAATTATATGACATAAAAAATCCATTTTACGCTCATAATAATAAAAAATTTGTTTAATGATAATAATTTATCTTTAGTATTAACATTTGAATAATACATTACTTATTAATATTCATTAAAAAGTCATTAATTCAAGAAAATACTTCAGTCATTCCACACATGTACATATACATTTATGTAAATCAACCACGAAAGTACGACTACAAAGTTTGCTTAAAGTGAATACCACAAAAACAAAGCAACTTATTCAATCGTTTATAGTTTAAGTGTGACTTCATCTCGCAAAACCTTGTCAATAACCTCTAAAATAACAAATTTTACTTAAGTGCAACTATTGTGTTATAAGTTTAGTTCAATGGATTGACTCAAAAGACTTAAGTAATAGGTCATGTTAAGTTAAAAAAGACGTGATTTAAATTGAATCAAACATATTTCGACCAGACCTATTTAAATTATGACCTACATGAGATTAGGTCAAGTAGTGTGTAGGCTTATAAATCAACTTGTATTATAGAATAATAATTATTTTTTAAATAAAATAAATAAAACCTATATATGTATTATATATTAATTTGACAAAATATTCACTTATTTTAATAGTAAATATCTTTTTAACAATAATTTATTTTAAGATTTATGATTAAAATTAATTATTATTTTATATTAATAAATTACTAAAAAATAAATAATGATAATAAAGAGTAAAATTTTTATTTTTATTTTGAGATTAAATGGATGTATTATCTTATAATTTATATATTAAATATTAAATAAAAGTTAATTTTATTAATATAATTTAAATTTTAAAAATATTTTTATTTTTATATTTTTTAATTAACTAATTTGGTATAAATATATTAATATTTTAAAAATAATAAATTATACCAAAATTTATTTGTTAGTTGGTTGACCAGATATAAAATCAAACTAAGTTAATTTTAAAATATATAATTGATTGGAGAATATCAGGATATTTTTAGTTGACCGTAACACTAGATGAAGTTGAGCTGTACCGCTGATTTTATGGTATCCTAATATTGACAATTGAAGCGCCTAGTAACCTATCGCTTAAGTGATTTAATTTTTGCTTGAACCAAATGCGATACAAAGTAAAGTCTCTTGTATGTGTTTGCTTTGATAAAAAAAAAAAATATATCCTTATCTTTCACAAAATACATCGTTATATATAAACAATTGAATTTATGATGATATTTGTGACAAAATTGTCACTGGTAAATTATTTCCTAACATAATTTTGTCACTAAATCAAATAAAATTAGTTTCTCTAATGGTATTATGATGATATTTTCATAGATCATACATGGTCATCACTAAATATGTCGCAATATTTATAATTTTTAGTTCATTCCATCACAATTTTGTGGGATAACAATAATGAATTATTGTATTAGAGTAATGATGCTTAAGTGTGTTTTTCTTTTTTATTTTAAAGTTGATATAGTGGATTCATAATATTAACATTTTTTCCCTAAAAGATTATGATTAGCAGAAATGTTATAATTACAAATATTTATCATAAGAACTAAAATGAATTATCAGAATGAGTAATCTTATTTAAAAAATAGTGTATATATTCATTAATTTTAATAGATTAATAATGTAGTTAATATTATATATAATAATAATAATAATAATAATAATAATAAAACTTTGTGTTTTTTGTTTCATTTGACTCCCTAATTTTTCATGTTGACTTTATCAAAGTCTATGTGTATCTGTACGAGAGAGAGGTAATTTAAAATATTAGGTACGCATAATGAAGCTAGTGCTTTGAAACCCTAGATATCTATCTATTCTTGACATGCACCAATGAGGAAGCGTTATTCTCATACGCCCTACTTTGACCCAATGCTCTCCGTATATCTAGGCGTGTATGTGTTGTTGCACTCTTTGCCAGAAAAGACAAAGTAAAACAAAGGAACAGATAGAGAACCCCAAACAGAGAAAAGTAAAAGGGGATATGATAGATAACATGGTGGTTTCGAAAGTAAAACTGTTCAGGAGTTGGTAATCTTTAATCAGTTTTAAAGTCAGCACATATAACGAGTCTGAAATGATTTGTTTTATGTATATATGCAGTGTCATTTCGCAGATATTTTTTATAACGAAATTTTACATGTGAATTCAGTTAAAGATAATATTATTATACTTAAGGTATTGTTGTTTTGGAAGTAAGTGACCGAATAAGTTATCTCACACAACTTTTTGCAAAAAAAACTCAACATATCTCAAATTTATTAAACAGATCATGCGTTCAAAATATTAAAAGTAAAAAAATAACAAGGCAAGACAAAGTTGCTCCCACAAGGTTTACATAAAATGTATTAAAAATAGTAAGATGATGTGAGTTAGAAGAGGTTTTGGAGGGGAAGAAATATTTGGTGTAAAAGAAAGGGTTAGTTTGGTGATGAGAAGTGGCAAAAGTTTGACCGTGTGAAAGGCAACTGGCCCCATGTGACTCTTGCAATGTTCAAAAGTTCAACGATGCCACTTGTACAGTAGGCGGTGTCCGACCATTGCGGCTTCAACCCCTCTTTCACTTTCTCTGACATCTTTTCTCAAACGTTGAAGTTGAATTCTTCCACTTATTATATTTATTCTCCACACTGAAACATTATTTTACTCTTCCAACGTCTTTCCTTGCTGTTTTCTTTTAGTGCAACTGGATTGGTCCATGTTTGACATTTCACTTGTACGTGTGTATCCGTGTTGGCTACATCCAGCTCCGATTCATAAATCTTTTTTTTTTTTTATTTGATATTATTTTCAATAGTCAAATACTTCATGCAGGTCCTCTCCCTATATTAACATAGGAAGAGGAACCTTGTTTGCTGACCCAACGCAGCGAAGAAAAGAAAAGTTCCTTTTCTGAATATGGAGTTTGGTTCAGAAAGATCTGGTCATGAAGTCAAGGACGAGAAGATAAGCGAATCTAGCGTTGGAGATGAAGAAGAACGTCGTGAACAAGAAATTGTTATGCAGGTGACCATGGTGAGCTTTCAACTTCACAAAATATCTAATTCTTTCTTTTTATATTTTCAATTCATTCAGGGGTCTGTGTATTCTGGTGTTTTCGATTGTTAATACTCAAAAGGTTAAAAAAAAAAAAAAACAAATCAAACTGTTCATGATCTCGAATAATCGATTTTCTAATTATCATCTACCCTTGTTGAACTCTCCTATGTTTTTTTTTTTTTTTTTACTTTTATCAGCATCTATAATGTTTAAACTTACTATTCAAACTTTTATTTTGTTTTTTATTATGCAATATAGTTAAAAATTGTTCAGTTTTAAATGCATGTTTATGTTCTATTATTATATCTACAAACAAAACGAACTAATTGATGAAATTATTGAATTGGGAATAGTTCAAGTGTATATAGAAAAAAAAAAAAATCAATTTGGATGGAAGATTGTAAATCCTTGTTTGATTCAACTGCTGAATATATTAAATAAAGACTGCATCTTATATTCCTTTATGATATGGCTAGATAATTCGTTAAGGGTATATTTCTCATTATTTCGCTTTTATCATTTCTTTGGTTTTATCATTAGTCAAGGGTTTTATCATTACCAAATTTTAACACACAAAGAAAACTTGGTTTATCAAATTAAAAACAAAACAAGTGCATTTGATGAGGTTATATATAAGAAGTTCCAATAATTTGAGACTGTATATAGTTGTAGAGATCTAATGATCTTTATTTTATTAAAGATATACATAAAATGAGTTTCTACATACATTTTTTTCTGTTTTTATTTTTATTTTTTAAAATGGCATGCACTATGTATCTTAATACGCGATCGATCTGGGTGCAGCAAAGTTCTTATCTTTAACTCATACACTAATATTTAATAAATTGTTTGGTTTAATTGAAGTCCATTGAAGGTAAAACACATGTCCATTCATGTATATAATTCAGCATATTACCATTTGATTGGTTTACATAATTTAAATAGTTAATCTTCGTCTATAAGTTGACTCATGCATGTGCTGAGAAAGCTAGCATCATATAATTGATATCTAAAAATGTGACAATACATTGCACATGCAAAATCAAAAGATTCTCAGTTTCTTCTTATATCAAAAGAAGGGTAAAAATCCTTAAAGATCTCAGTTCATTATCATGTCATGGCTACAATTTGGTAATTATTTCATGTGGGTGAATTCTGAGTTCCACCTGCATAGAATGCAGATTCCAAATTTATATTTTTGCAAAGAATAAGGAAAAGGATAAAGGAACTATAAGCCGTTGGTAAAACCCTAGTTTGATACTTGATTCCATATAGGTTAAAGAAAAGGAAAAGTAATGAGAAATTAAATAGCATTCGTATATATATGCATGTTGACTTTTTATAATGCTTTGGGATTTTTACAGGAGCCACCCTTGGCTACCATCGAAAGATCCATTGTGAAGGCTGGGCCAAATGCTTCTTCCCTAGCCGAAAAGGAAGAGGTTAGATTGTTCAATATTTGTAATATTATTACTTGGTACTTTTTATTGGTCAAACTTCAGATATAATTAAAAGGAAAATAATTATAATTATAATTACAGTGTACTTGTGTAAATTTAATAACCAGAAGGGAGCAATTCATTTTACAGTTGGGTTAACCTTGTCAAAAGACGATCACGCCCTTTCATTTTGAATAATGTGTTTGTTTGGTATCTTTCTTTTGTACACGTTATTCAGAACTCATAAATGTGTTATGTTGAAAGTCATGATGGGTCATGGAGAAAAAAGAAGAAGAAGGAAAATATAGAGAAAAATGAAATCAGATTTTTTTTTTTAAAAACACTTCTAAAAAATTTAGACCTAAATCAATGATATTTTGGGATGTGGGATGGTACTTTTCTTCCCTTATATAAATTCATATAGTTTTATATTAATATTTTTTTCCTTTTTTAAATATCGATCAATAATGACATATAGTTCCTGATCATAAAACACGTTAATTTGTCTTCTTTTTAAGTTGTTTTCTTGATAGAATGAATTAACCTATTATTGTTAAGATAAATTATAGATCTTAATCTACATAAAAAAAATGGGTTGGTGAATCGAGGGACTAGACTATTAATATTTTTTATTTGTATTTTTAAATTATATAAATAATTTTAAGTTTTTATTTATTAATTAATATTTTTATTAGATAAATTGAAAATTTATTATATTTATGTGTTAAAATATCTAATTATAATTAATACTTTAAATTTAATTGATTAATATTTATTATTTAAGTTTAATATTATAATATATTTACTTATTTTAATAATAAAATAAAAAATATATTTTTTTAATTATAATTTTTTTATTTTAATTTTAATATATAAATATTTTTTTAAAACAAATACACTGTTGATCTGCTCACCTTTTTTAACCTCGGGTTAAGGCATTAAACAGTCGAATTAAAAGTACCATCTTATCCATCATTTTTAAATCTAGATTGACAATCCTGTACATCTAACCTAACCCTTAAAATAATATATATATATATATATATATATATATATATATATATATTATCACATTAAATTTTTAGTTGTTGTTGTTTCTAAAAAGTAACAATTTGATTACTATGTATGAGATGACAAGATTCTAAATGAGTTATTCACTGTTATTTTAACCTATAAATGTATGTTAATATTATTGCACCATTTTTCTAATTATGCTTTCAGACTATTATTTTTTTAGTATTCTTTCAATTTAGGGACTAATGTGACAGCTCCAATAAATTTGGAAAGAAAAAAAAGTAAACATTTACTAAGAAAAATAATAATAGTATGTGACATACAGTAATTGAAGTTATAGCTTGATTGATCTGATGTACGCATGTATGGTTGCAGGTTGATGAACTTGAAAATGCCAAAGCCGAAATGGGTGAAGTGAGAGAAGAAAATCAAAGATTAAAGATGTGTTTGAACCGAATACTAAATGAGTACCGAACACTGGAAATGCAATTCAACAATATAGTTGAACAAGAGACAAAAGATTCTTCTGAGAAACCGAAGAATGATGATGAACATGGAGTAATGATGGAGGAATCAGAACTGGTTTCCCTAAGTCTTGGAAGACTTCCAGTTCCAAGAAACAATGAGAATAAAGGCAAAGTCCCTCAAACATTGAAAGAGGAAGAAGAAGATAAAGAAGGTTTGTCCCTTGGACTGGAGTGCAAATTTGAAACATCAAAATCTGGAAGCACAACTGAACATGTACCAAATCCAAGCCCTACCAATAGTGTTGAAGAAGTGCCAAAGGAAGAAGTTGCTGGGGAGAGTTGGCCACCAGGCAAGGGACAAAAGACAAATAGAGATGCTGGAGAGGATGAAGTTTCCCATCAAAATCCTGCAAAGAAAGCAAGAGTTTGTGTGAGAGCAAGATGTGAAACCCCAACTGTAAATATCTCTCTCTTATCATTGCTCATTCCATTCAACATTTTTCTTTTTCTTTTTTATAAGTTGGTCAATGAATAATGATCGCTGAACCATTTTAATGTAAAAAAGCTATTCTCTGACCTAATGATTTGTTGAAACAGTTGAACGATGGATGTCAATGGAGGAAATATGGACAGAAGATTTCAAAGGGAAATCCTTGTCCTCGAGCTTACTATCGTTGCACTGTTGCACAATCATGTCCCGTAAGAAAGCAGGTGTGTCTCTCTCTATTTTCCATCACATTTCAATTTAGTTTTTTTTTCTTATTTAAAAAAATATATGATTTTTTGACACTTAACTTATGCTTTGTTAAAAAAAATGATAAAAGGACACAAACAATTCAAATAAAAATATATATAGTCAAGGAAAAATAATTTATTTTTTATTTTTCTCTCTTTTTCACTTAGACCATAAAAAATATATATCAAGATATATGACAAATTAATATGATAAGAATATACAAAACACTTATATGTTTATTTTTTATATATAGGAGTTTATATATATAACAAACATTAACATTTATTTTTTCTTGTTATGCATTTCATTTACATTTTTATTTTTTTCGTGTGTGTTAAGGTGGTCATGTATTATTTATGACTCAAGAAAGAAGTGTCGCACCCTCGTTTCTCGATCTTTTCTTGTATCAGCGAACAAATATAGTAAGCTAACTGTTACTATGCAACATTCAGGTGCAAAGATGTGCTCAAGACATGTCCATATTAATCACCACCTACGAAGGAAACCACAACCACCCTCTTCCTCTTTCAGCCACAGCTATGGCTTCCACCACTTCCGCAGCTGCTTCCATGCTAATGTCTGGATCATCAACCTCACACTCTGGTTTAAGACCTTCCACAACCATCACCACCACTGCTGCAGATCTTCATGGAATGAACTTTTTCCTATCGGATGGTTCCAAATCAAAGCAATACTACCTTTCCCATCCTGCACTCTCCTCTTCACCTTCACACCCCACCATCACTCTAGACCTCACTTCCAATCCATCATCCTCTTCAGCTCCTTTTGTCAAATTCACTTCAAGTTCAAACTACAACCCTCAAAGGTACCCTCCTTCCACGAGCCTAAGCTTCAGTTCCTCCCAATCTAATGCAAGTTCTTGGAGCGACGGGTTCTTCAGCTACAACACTCAACCGTATAATAACAACAGGAATATGAATGTGAATGTCCTTGGCAACCTAAACCTTGGAAGACGACAACAACAACAACCAATGGAGAACATCTACAGTTCCTTAATGCAAAGGAACAACAATCCAAACCCTCCAACACAACATTCTCTGCCAGACACAATAGCTGCAGCAACAAAAGTAATCACAGCGGATCCTAACTTTCAGTCAGCTTTGGCAGCAGCACTTACTTCTATTATTGGGTCAGGAAGCATTCAGGGAAACCAGGATGCTGCAGAAAATCTGAGTCAGAAAATGAAATGGGGTGAATTGTTTCCACCATCCTTTGCCTTACCTTCATCTTCAAAAGTCAATGGATGTGCTTCAAGCTTCTTGAACAAATCAGCAGCTAATTCACAACCAGGAAGTTTGATGTTTCTTCAGCCACCTTTGCCACTTTCTAGCCCCAAAAGCGCTTCTGGGTCTCCCGGAGATCACAGAGACAAGAAAAATTAGTTATTGGAATGAAGAATGAATCCCCTCACGTACATGGGAAGGCCATGTTTAAAGCAAGATTCAGAAGGTCGTGTTTAAACCGTGTGTTAGTTTATTTAATTTTTTTGGGATGTGAGATAGACAACGTGATGTTAATATGACCTTATCATGTTAAAATTTTACTAGCTAGCTTGCAAGTTGGCTTGCAATTGTATAATTGTATAATCAATATGGACAAATAATTTAGAGAATGTACACAAATAAATATTTCTCTTTCATTAAGTGATGATTGGTGATGTGTATCACATTTTAACATGTACCTTGAAGATAAAATGAAAATGTTTTACCTTTCTTTTTCACTTTGAACATAAACATGCGCCTACACTTATAAGTTAGATAAAAATGAAATAAACAGAATATATATGACGTCCACAGTTCCAAGTTCAGAAATGATCGTATAGAAAATAGCATAACTAACAAGTACCTACATATTCCTCACATATGTTTCCTTATTGTTTGGGATTGCATTTGTAAATAAATTAATTAAATATTTTATATCATCAAATCACGTGGGGATGTAGCTCAAATGGTAGAGCGCCCGCTTTGCATGCGGGAGGCACAGGGTTCGATCCCCTGCATCTCCATTTTATACCGATTAGTGTGTTGTTTCTGGTTTATACTGTTTTAGCTTTTCTCAAGTAAACAAAAAATAATCCTCAATAAGTTTAAATAAAAAAAATAATACGTTTGAAAAGAAAAGTTAATGCAATAAAAAATTAATACGTTTTAAAAGAAAAGTTAATGCAATTAGTTAAAATTAAATAATAATAAAATAATAACATGGATTAAAATTTAAAAAGAAAAGTTAATACAATTAGTTAAAATTAAATAATAAAAAGAAAATGAATAACATGGACTAAAACTTAAAAAGGAATAGTTAATACAATTAGTCAAAATTTAATAAAAAAATGAATAACGTGTACTAAAACTTAAAAAAGAAGTTACAATTAAATAATAAAAAGAAAACAAATATATTCACTCAAAATATGAAATAATTTTATGTTATTATTTAATTACAACATATACCATATTTTAATGATTATTAGTTTAAAATATACAAATTTTTTATAAATATGAATTTATTGGGAGTGAAAATGGAGAGTAAGAAATGTGACCCACAATTTTGTCATAAAAAATGAAATTATTATTTAATTACAACATTTGCTATATTTTAATGATTATTAGTTTAAAATATACAAATTTTTTATAAATATGAATTTATTAGGAGTAAAAATGGAGAGTAAGAAATGTGACCCACAACTTTGTCATAAAAAAAATATATGAGATAGACTAGACATTTCAACCCACCATTTGCTTAGGTCCATTTCTTACAATCCAAAGCCCGTGTAGGAGTAAGACAGATTCTGCCACATTTTTTTTTTTAATATTTAAATTAGTAAGTTATCTACAAATTCTCATATTATTCGGTTTAATCCACTTTCTATTTCTTTTTGTTTTTATTCAAATTTAGTGTTTAGATTCATTTAGTGTACCATTCATTATTAATTTTAGATTAGTATAAGTGATAAGGTTTTGCTTTAGTATTTTTTTTATTTAAATTTGATTTAAAATTAATTGTGATTAGAGAGGATCCTGGGATAGTAATGTTAATCTCACGCTTGATTATTCGAAACAAATAGGAAACACAAATAGATAAATGGTGAAACTAACTACTAAACCCATCAAACACGAAAATGAAAAAGAAAATAAGATATCGAATTGAAATTTATAAAAATTATATTTCTCGTGAAGATGAATTATTATTATAATTTATTTTGATTCTAAGAAGAAACATTTAACCTACATTTATTTCAAGAAAATTTTAGAATAAATTAATTTCTTACAAATTAATTTATAATATATATATATATATATTTAATATATAAATTATAAAATAATAAATTCATTTAGTCTCAAAATAAAAAATTACTCTTTATTGTTATCATTTAATTTTTTTAGTGATCTAAAATAATAATTCATTTTAATTAGTATATTATAGAATAAATGGATATTAGAAATTTCTTCTTATATTTACTCTTAGAATAAGTAAATATTTTTTTAAATTAATTTATAATACATATGTTTTTTTTAAATAATATTATTTTTATTTTCATTTAAAAAATTATTATTATTTTATATAACAGATCAACTCATAAGTTTACGGATTAGTCTAGCCTAAGTTTTTGACCTAAATGAGTCGAGTCAAAATAGGTCTAATTCATTTAAGTCACAATTTTTTTAGTTTAGTCTAACTTATTTCTCAAACTTTTTGGGTCAGCCTATCGGACTAAACTTATTTTGACACTCTTATATAAAGATTATAATGTAAGTATTCATTCTATTTTGGAGAGTTATCTATGAAAATCACACATTTTACCTATATTATTTTGGGTCCTTATGCATGTAGAAGGTATGACACTTTATACATCATAATGATATTTTAGATAAAAAAATGTTGCATGGAATGCACATACAACATGGGTGTGACTATATATAACCAATATAGGATATGTCCTTCTATTACAATGATTTTAACAAAAAAAAAAAAGATGTAGTATGAATATTTTGCCTTATTATTACTACCACATGTAAATTAATCTAAGAACAATTAAAAAAAAAGTAAATAATTAATTTCATCTACAATTATTATCTATTACATATCAATCCATTAATTTGAAGATAAACAAATACATTATTTCATAATTATACTAATCTACCATTATTCCTAATGTTAAAAAAAATGTTCACTCTTGATAAAAATATTTCCGAAAACCCCTGCCTTGTATTGAATATGATAGCACAATATATACATGAAATACAGAAACATTCTAGGCTATAATTACGCTAACCATTATAGTCGGTATCCTAAATTTGTCTATTAACAGATATGAAATTAATGTGCATCATTTGTCATGCCAAGCTAAATATGGAAAAAAATAATCATGTAGAATCATGGCATGATACAGGTATTTGTAATCGTATATTCTATGTATATTTTATGTTTATCACCCTCCCTCAAGATGGAGTATGAAGGTTATGAATGCCCAACTTGCCTAAAAAAGAACCAAATTTAGTGGCGCCAAGAGATTTGGTGAAGAGATCAGCCGAGTTGATGATGAGTGGACACATAGGAGGGTTGGATATGATTGTGTTGTATTTCATCACGAATAAGATGACAATCCACTTCAATATGTTTTGTCCAGTTCATGAAACACAGGATTCTTGGCAATGTGAAGGGCGGCTTGGTTGTCACGATAGAGAGTCATAGGGTCGGTGTGAGTAATGCCTAGGCTCGAAAGAAGGCCTTGAAGTCATTTCAACTCACATGTCGTGTTGGTCATAGAACGATATTACGCCTCAGCGGATGATCGGAAGCCGTATGTTGCTTCTTGGTTTTCCAGGAAACGGGGGATTGACCAAGGAAAATAAACCAACCGGTGAGAGATCTTCGAGTGAGAGGACAACTTGCCCGGTCAGAGTCACACCAACCATAAAGACGAAGGTCACTCTCTCTTTTTAAAAGCACACCACGACCGGGCTGCCCTTTAAATAGCGTACCACGCGGAGTGCAGCCCACCGATGCTCCTGACGCGGTTGGTGCATGAATTGAGATAGGACATGAACAACTGTAAGATAATTCAGGTCGTGTAAAACACAAGTAAATAAGGCGGCCAGACGAGACGTCGATATTGACTCGGGTCGAGAAAGTAGTTCGCCATCGGCCAATGCTAAACGATGATTTTCTTCGATTGGCGTGGACACGAGTTTCCCTCCAAGCAATCCTGCTTCAGCTATGATGTCCAACGCATACTTACGTTGACACAAGAAAATTCCTGTAGGAGATCTGGCAACCTCCACCCCAAGAAAGTATTTTAATTTCCCTAAGTCCTTCATATGAAAACATTGATGAAGATAATCTTTGAATTGCGCAATGTCTTCATGATGATTGCCAGCAATGACTAGGTCATCCACGTAAACTAACACAACCGGTTCGACATCTCCTTTGCGAAAGATGAACAAGGAGTGATCGAGACGAAGAACGTTGAAACCCATATTGAACAAGAGCGGTTGAGAGCTTGGCAAACCAACAGAGGAGCTTGACGAAGACCATAAAGGGACTTGCGGAGACGACACACCATACCCTTTTGAGACACCAAGAACCCTGGCGGCATTTTCATGTACACAGCTTCCTCAAGATCGCCGTGCAGAAAAGCATTATGGACATCCATTTGATGGAGTTCCCAGTCTTTGGCTACTGCCACTGCCAACACTGTCCGAATGGTGACCATCTTTGCCACTGGGGCAAAGGTCTCGTCATAGTCAATCCCCTCAACTTGGTGATTTCCCAAGACAACTAATCGGGCTTTGAAGCGTTCAACGCTCCCATCGAGAATGATATTTGATTTTATAAATCCACTTGCAACCCAGAGGCTTCTTCCTCTCGGTAGAGGAGTAATGTCCCATGTTTCATTACTTTACTGCCATGGCATCTCTCCATCTAACATCCCGAACAACTTCAAAGAAATGCACGAGTTCTCGCTCTGCATGAAGGGCTGCAAGAAAGGTTCGGTGGGGAAGGAGAATTTAGCACAATTTAAGTACTTTGTCAAGCTGTAAGGCATACCGAGGAAGCTGAATGTGGAGTGCGAATTGAGGGACCGAGTTGTAAAGTGGTGTTAGTGACATAATCACGAAGCTTCACAGATGGCTTTCGTACACGAAGACCTTTCCCCAGGGATGCGGGGACAGTATGCTCCTCGGGAACCTCTAGTTACTGTCATCATAGAGTCGGTTTGTTCGGTGGGAGAACGATCCGGGTGGGAGACTCTTGTTCATGGCATTCGGCGTGGCCCTCCACTGAACTCGGTTGTGGGCACATCTTCTATTGTGGGGTTAACGTCATCAGTCTCCACAACGTGTTACTGCATTGTTCATTGCACCAAGTCCAGGCAATGCTTCCT